AAATGTGTTTGTAATAATAAAGTTCTGCTCTTGACAGAATTGTAACAGACGGTCTCCTTTCTCGTTTCGATTTCCCAGACCATAGTTTCCTATACACTTTCCGCTTTGTCCCTTTCCAATCTTTGCATTGATATCACCTAGGACTATCGTGATTTCTCTTGTTTTCGTTATTCTAAGTGCCTGCCTCTTCGATATATCGATAAAATAATTCTACTTCGTCTTCGTCGGCATTCGCCGTAGGAGCATAAACTTATATCAAATACCATATACAACAGTGTGGAAAATTGTTACAGATAGAATTTAACCTCTTAAAAAGGATTTCCCTCGACTTATTAACTGGAGAAACGAATACTTGAATGTTATATCTAAATTTAGAGATGAAGGAAGACCGATATTTTATCTTAATAAAACAAGCTTCGATACCCACGATACTGATCAAAAAGGTTAGAGAGAAGACTCTATTAAGTGTGCACTCATTATCCAATTAATAGAGGTCAGCGAATAATTATACTGGAACCAAACTAAAACATTGGAACCAAAAATGGCTGTCTTGGAAGAGAAAGTTTTTTACTATCGGCAAAAAACATTCAAGATTGAAAGCTGGATTTCCATGAAAATATGACGAGTAACTTGTTTAAAGAATGGTTTGAAAAGAAAGTGTTTCCAAATTTGTATTCTCTTATTTCATTGTACATAATAACATACCTATAACAACAAAGATATAAATACTTATTAAATATATGATATTGTACCGTTTTTAAATAACACGAGTGGTTCGAATTTATATAAATATATTTATTTATGACTTTACAGTTCGGTACTATCTTATCAACTCAACTAATTCCTAAAATCGTTACATATGTATACCAAAGTTACTATATTCTAGAACATTCCCACCTCTAATTCTAATTCAATTAAATACGTGACGGGATGTTCTTTTGTGATCGAGAGATCTATGGATGCATCTCGAAGCATCTCAGACAACCGTTAGGCGGGCCACGCTGGATGCATGTTCGTAACACTGCTCCCCTCTTAGATCTGAGCGTCCCGATTAGCAACTCTATATGTAGACCCAGGATGGTGGAATCTACAGGACTCTGCATGAACCCCTTAGAAAGAAATAACAGTCTACTATCTTTGAAGGACACAATCTCTTCGGATTCGTGCAACACACAGTAATTCTTACACCGGTTTCTCGGAAGATCACTTCAAGCATGCTTCTGACAATCTTCCAATCCAGATTATCTAGTGCATGGCCTATCTTGGGTAAGGCCAAATTCTTAATGTCGTAATTGCACACGATTTTCTTCAAATTAATTAGAGCACACCATATATCTTCGTAGGTTGCCCTGTCTGTATACGACTTCCTGGTTACCATATACAACAAAGATCGAGAACCATCTTCTAATCTCAGTACTCTTCCAACTTTAGGCTGCTGGTTTTTTAACTCATCCAAACGACCGAATTTCTTATAAAATACGGATGAGATTCCTTTAGTCATCTCAAGATCTTGGGTAACACAGTGGGCTAGAGAGATGTTATGCGGAACACTAAAAAGATCTTGCTGAACTTCTGTGGTCACGCCAAATCTAGCACTCTTTCTCTCTGCGTAATTTGACATAAATTCATTAAAGCTTGGTCGCAGGTCATCTTTGATCTCATGTTGAAGGGTTCGGGTTTGTTCTGTTTCATTTGAGCCAGCATAGGGTGCAAGACGATTTATGTGAACTACTTTTGGTTTACCTTTAGGCAACTTCTTACTTTGGTATATTACGTCATTTATCCTCTTTTTAATTTCATACAGACCTTCCCATTGTCTTTGCAGTTTAGGAGACAAGCCACGACGACGTTGTGGATTATAAAGCCAGACAAAATCACCTACTTCATAGCTTTCATTCTTGCATCGTGAATCGTATTGATCTTTCATTCTGTCACTGGCTAACTGGATGTGTTGTCGGGCAAGTTCATGAATGTTGTTCATTCTTAACTTTAGGCGGTCGACATAATCTTCGCTTGCAACATGTTCTTCAGAAGGTCTGCAGCCAAACTCTAGGTCGCAGGGAATCGAACTTCACGACCTAACATTAGGTAGGTTGTAGTCAGGCCTGTAGTTTCATGTACAGCCGAGCGGTGAGCCATTAGGAATCAATGAATGTACTAGTCCCAATCTCTTTGATGTTCTGATACAACTCAGGACAGGTGTTTACCCATCGATCGGTTCATTCTCTCGACCATTCCATCTGATTGAGGATGCAGTGGTGTCGTTCTGGTTTTATTGACACCAATCAATTTACAAACGTTTTGGAAAAGGTTTGACTCGAAGTTTCGCCCTTGGTCGGAGTGGATCTCCAAGGGAACACGTATCGCATCGCTCAGTCCATTTCGTGAAATAATCCATGGCTACCAGGATATATTTATTTCCATCATTTGTCTCTGGAAGTGGACCTGCAATGTCGATTGCTACTCTTTCCATAGGACTACCAACATTGTACTGTTTCATGGGTGCCCTCTTTTTATCAACTGGACCATTACTGGTTGCACACAGTTCACATTTCCGGCACCATCTTCTTACATCATCTTTACAGTTCACCCAATAGAACCGTTCTCGAACTTTTTGCAGAGTCTTCGTAATACCAAAGTGTCCACCTGATGCACCGTCATGTAACTGATGCAATACTTCTGACACTTTACTTTTAGGTACAATCAACTGAAGCTTAGATTCTGTACCATCATCGTTCTCAAAGGTTCTATAAAGAAGATCATCTTTTAGCACTAGGCAATTCCATTGACTCCAGTAACACTATCAGGACTACATGCACTAATGTCTTGCCAAGAAGGCCTTTCACTTCGACGCATCCAATCCAATACTCTTTTTATACATGGATCATCTGCTTGAGCGTCTTGTAGCTGTTGAGGCTGCCATTGAACGGTGGTTCGCCTCACGGGGAAAGTCGTTCTTCTAATTCAAGACAATGATTACGATTTGCACTGTATGGCCGTCTTGATTGAACATCAGCATTTGAATGACTTTTTTTAGCCCAGTGCTCGATCTGTTCTAGCTTTCTGACTGTTGTATTATTTTCTTACACTTTGGGGCGAATGTGACCTTCGTTTTTACCATTCCAATATCTGGGTTCACGTCTCTTCGGCATCATGTTACGAACTACTTTCCGTACGATTTCCTCCAGACGTTTATCGTTTCGTTCGTCACTTTGTTCAGGGGTTCTTACTTGATAGCTCCGTGAAACTCGACTAGCTATCTCGTGTTCCAAGGCAATGGCGAGCGCTTCATCTAAAACTTTCGTTCTTGCTAGTCGTAAAGCTTTCTGTGGTTCACTGTCTCTCAACCCATTGATGAAGGCAGTTTACAGCAATTTCTTTCAAAATGTTGTCTGGTGCCTCTGGATAGGCCAACAGCGCTATACGAGCAATATCTGCTTCAAATTCTTGCAAACTCTCACTTGCTCGTTGGATTCTTCTTCTTATTTGTACTTTGTAGACTTATTGTAGATGGGCATTTCCGTAACGTTTGTCTAGTCGAGGAAACAAGGTCTGGTAACATTTTTCTTGACCCTTAGGAGTCGATCTTAGGATATCTGCAGCATCACCTCGTAAAGCAGCAGTCAAGGAAACAGCCTTTTCTTGTTCTGTCCAATGATTGGCTGTCGCAATAGCTTTAAATTGTCCAAGGTATATGGACCAAAAGGACTTTCCATCAAATGGTGGCAATTTGAATCTCATATGATGGGTCATTTCGTCTCTAGGTGATTCTTCTTTTACTACCGGATCTAAAGCTACCGTATTAATTGGTGGTAGCACTTTTGTGTTAGTTATCATGGTCTCTAACTATTTGATGTTCTCTTCTACGTTGTTTACATTTTTCGGTATCTGATCGAATGTTCTTGAGACTTCTTCAAATTTCTCATTATTTTGATTACATACTTCATTAATTATTTGAGAAGTCTCGTCGAATCTTCTAGACACATTTTCAAATTGCTCGTCATTTTGTCTAGCTACTTCTTTAATAATTTGTGAAGTCTCGTCGAATCTTTTAGATACATTTTCGAATATTTCATCAAATCTTTTGGAAACGTTCCCTATTTATCATCATTTTTTCTGGAAGATTCTTCAATCATTTGAGACGTTTCAACAAATCTTTTGGAAACAGTCTCGAATTTATCATCATTTTTCTTAGAAGTTTCTTCTATCTTCATTAAAACTGCTTCTTCTGCTGATTGAAAATGGAATGTCTCTGGGTCATCTCCATTCTTGTTAAGAACATTCTTTGGTCGTTCTTGGAGGATCTTCTTGGACCCACTGCAGTCTTTATCGCGTTCTTTAAGTTGCTCACGCAACTGTTTTACTGAAAGTTGTACTAGCAGCATCTTTGGTCAGGCACACACGTACTTTTTTAAATGTTCTTTCGTACAAAGATCACTACCGAACTACGCGGATGTTCCCGACGAACAATACTTTTCAAAAGTTCAAAAGTCTTTTCTTTTTTTAAAGTCACTGCTGAATTTAGTTTTCAATAAATCAATTGTCCTCACATTGTGACACCAACTGTACCGTTTTTAAATAACACGAGCGGTTCGAATTTATATAAATATATTTATTTATAACTTTACAGCTCGGTACTATCTTATCAACTTAACTAATTCCTAACATCGTTACATATATGTATACCAAAGTTACTATATTCTAGAACATTCCCACCTCTAATTCTAATTCAGTTAAATACGTGACGGAATGTTCTTTTGCGGTCTAGAGATCTATGGATGCATCTCGAAGCATCTCAGATAACCGTTAGGCGGGCCACGCTGAATGCATGTTCGTAACAATATGATATTATTAATATTGATAATATATGTATTATTCCAACCCTATTAAAATATTATAAGTACTTGAACAAAATTTCTTATATCTTGACGGAAACTATAGTATTACTGCATAGCTATTTAATTATTTTTTATCAAACTAATATACTTAAACTTTTTTAGGACTTCTGATTCTATAGAAATTTATAATATCTCCTATAACCATATATCCAATATTACCCTGGATGAAATGATAAAAACTGGAAATAGAATAATCCATGAATTCCCATATTCGCAGATGTTACGCTATCCGAAAGCTTCTTTAACAGAAAATTTTTATAGATTTTACATTGAAGTACTAGTATCCCATATGTTACCATCACTATTTGTTGATTTAATTTTAAGGCTCATTGGGCAGAAACCAAGGTGAGTGTTAAAAGATTGGTAGTAGCATATAACATACAGCCTCAAACAATTATGCCAATTAAGGATGTAGAATTTCGATTTATAATCGCCTCGTATTTCGCTGAGACTGTATAAAAATATATGTATCTGTAATAAAAGCAGGTAATAAAAATTAAAATAAAAATTTCTCTTCTTCTTAACATGCCATACACCAAAGTGCGTAGGCGACTATCTCATTACTAGAATTCTGTTCTTGGCGGCGTGACACAGCTCACCTGTATTGTGTATTCCTGTCCATTCTTTAATATTCCTTAACCAGGACAATTGTTTGCGGCCGGCTCCTCTCCTACCTTCGATCTTCCCTTGTAGGATTAACTGTGGTATTTTATATTTTGCTCCTCTCAATATGTGCCCAAGGTAACCAATCTTGCGTTTTTTAATTAATTCAAAGAGTTCTCTTTCCACGCCGGCTCTATTAAGGACGTCATCGTTTCGAACTCTATCCACCCAAGGTATGCGCATCATTCTTCTCAATGACCACATTTCAAATGCTTCAAGTTTGTTGATAGATGTTTTTTTCAAAGTCCACGTTTCCATGCCATAAAGCAAGATGGACCATATGTAGCACTTGACCATTCTGTAGCGTATTTCGAAGTTTAGGTGTTGATTACATAGGAGCGGTCTGAATTTCACAAAAGCTTGTCTTGCCATTTGTATTCGGGTTTTTATCTCGTGTTGTGGATCCGATTGGTCATTGATTGTGGTGCCAAGGTATTTAAAAGTTTTCACGCGATTTATACGATTGTCACCTATGCATAATATCGGGTTTTCTGGAGGGTTTCTGCTAATGACCATATATTTCGTTTTCAAAATGTTGATTTTGAGGCCATATTTTTTACCTATGCTATTCACCCTATCAAGTAATAACTGCTGATCTTCCAAATTATCAGTTATAATCACTGTGTCGTCCGCATAGCGTAGGTTGCTAATTGGTATGCCGTTCACCTTAATGCCTAATTCCGTATCTTCTAATGCTTCCGCAAATATATTTTCAACATATAAATTAAAAAGCATCGGAGAGAGTATGCAGCCTTGGCGGACACCTTTCCGGATTTCAAATTCATCCGTATATTGGTCTTGATCAATCCTCACCTTTGCCATTTGGTTCCAGTATAGATTCTGAATAATTCTGATCTCCTTCTGGTCAATGTTGGCCCTATGTAGTAGTTCCATCATGATATCATGTTTAACATTGTCAAATGCCTTCTCGTAGTCGATGAAGGTGAGGTAGACATCTTTTCGTTGATCTAAGCAGTTTTGTATTAAGGTGTTCAAACATAAAATTGCCTCTCTTGTTCCTAGTCCTCCCTTAAAACCGAATTGTGTTGACCCGCTAAGTTCTTCTAGTATCTTATACATTCTTGAGTGTAATATCCTAAGGAAGAGTTTCAACAAGTGACTCATTAAACTGATTAAGCGGTGTTCATTGCATTTTGTGGCATTAGCTGTTTTTGGGATCATCACAAAGGATGACTGCAGCCATTCTCGCGGAATGTAACCAGTATCATAAATTCTATTGAACAGCCTTACCAAGATTTCGATATTCTCCTCGTCTAGTAGTTTTATTGCTTCTATATTAATTTCATCTGGACCTGTTGCTTTATGCATCTTTGTGGTTCTAACTGCATATTCTATTTCACTTCGCATTATTGATGGCCCTGATAAGTTTTCGGAAGGAAGTTTGCGCGTTGGTTGTGTTGGTCTTTCGTCATTAAAAAGGCTTTCTGCATATTCTTTCCACGCCATTGCTATCTCTTCTTCTGACTCTATGTATTCGTTTCTGTCGTTGCGTATTCTTGTTCTGTGGTGGCTTTTGTGTATATTCGATATTTCTTTGATCTTCTTATGTAGTCCAAAACTATCTCCTTTTTCCTGCAATTGTTCTATTTCGTTGCACCTTTCCACCATCCAACGTTCTTTTGCTTTCTTAATTTTCTGACGGATTTCTTTGTGTATCTGTTTGTATTTGTCTTGATTACGTTGTTGTTTATGTTGCCTTCGCTTTTCCATTAGATCCATAATTTCGTCCGTCATCCATTCGTTATGCTTTATCTTTCTGATATGTGTTTTAACTTCCCTGTTTACTGCCAGAATCGTTCCTTTAATATCATTGACCATCTCTTCGATATCATAATTTTGTCCTATTACTCGCATTCTTTCATTAATTTGATTCGCATAACTCTTCTTCAGATTTTCGTCTCTCATCAGTTCTCTTGTATTTATAGGTGTGCTGGTATTTGTATTTGTTCTCTTAATTTTTGCTAGTTTTAACCTCACATCTGCTATTAGCGGATTATGATCGGATGCAATATCAGCACCTGGATATGCTGCGATTCTTTTGATAGCGTTACGAAATCTTCTGTTTATTAAAACGTAGTCAATTTGGTTTCTAATTATTCGATTTGGACGGTCTCCTGGCGATCTCCAAGTATATAACTTACGAGGTGGGAGCTGAAACCATGTGTTCATGACGACAAAACCGTTCTCCTGGCAGAATTCACACAGCAGGTCACCTCTTTCATTTCTAACTCCAAGGCCGTACTCTCCAATTATGTCTTCATATCTTCCTTTACCCACCTTGGCGTTAAAGTCGCCCATTATTATGTTTATGTCCTCTTTCTTTGTTAGTCTTATTGCTTTTTCCAGATCTTTATAGAACTTAGTTATTTCTTCTTCTGACTTATCTGCTGTTGGTGCATATGCTTGTGTCACATTTATGTTTACTGGTTTGCCTGTCATTTTGATCGACATGACTCGTTCGGAAATTGGAACAAAATCTGTCACCGATTTACTGGTCTTCCTTCAAGAGCAATAGCCACCCCATGTCGGTGATGTCTATCTGTTGGGTCACTACACGAGTAATACATAGTAATCTTATCTTTCGTAAACTGTCCAGATCCAGACCATCGGACTTCACTGACTCCCATTATATTTATTTTCAGCCGATTAAAAAACAATATATTATTAAAATAACAATCACAAGTTTTAAAAAGTTACACCTTAACAACAATAAAATTATTAAAATAACAAACACCTCAGAATAATACAAACATATAAGAATAATACATATGTACAACCAACTTATTGTAAGATATTTTTTAGTTGTTTTTTAAACAAACTAATTTTGGAGTCAAAAATATCTATTTGTCTTGGCAAGCTATTAGCACTCCGGACCAATCGTGTAGTTGGTTCATTGATACCATAATTAGTGTGGTGAAATGGCACCGAAAAGTTTTCTGATTGTCTGTTGCTTCTACTATAAGGAACTTTATAGGAACTTTAAGACTAACAAGCGATAAGAGTTGAGGACAATCTATAAAAGCATTGATAACCTTGTGTAAGAAACATAAATCTAACAATGTCCTCCTTGACTCAAGTGTTGGTAAGTTAAGACTATCTCTTACCCACTGATAGTCGTATTCCTCTCTCCTGTATCCACTCTTATAGGCTGCTACCCTCATAAATTTATTCTGGACTCTTTCAATCTGTTGAATGTAACAGTGGTATGATGGGGACCATACAACTGATCCAAACTCAAGAATGGGCCTAACGAGACCACAATAAAGTCTTCTAAATGTAAATAAAGACAGATCCACAGATGTGCGTTGGATAAATCCCAGCACTTTCATCGCTCTGTTTGTTACTTGGTTAATGTGGCTTGAGAATGACAGTTTGGTGTCTAACCAAATTCCCAAATCTAATACTTCATTTTTCGAGGCTAATGGCAAGTTATTTATGTAGTAAACAAATGTAATTGGATTTCTTTGTCTCGAGAATGTCATTTTATGACATTTGTTTATATTGAGTGACATTTTGTTTAAAGTGCACCAATCATAAAACGATTTAAGATCTTATTGTAATATAACAGCATCATTCCAGGATTGAATTTTTCTAAACAGATTTACATCATCAGCAAACATAAGAACACTACAATTTTTGATTTGTTGTACTAAATCAACTAGAAACAAGCAAAACAAAACAGGGCCACAATGGGAGCCTTGTGGCACGCCTGATGGAACTGTTATTTCAATTGAAGTGTCACTTCCCAAGTTAACTGTCTGCGTACGGCCACTAACAAATTCTGTAATCCACTGAAGAAGGGGATCCAAAATACCCAAAGCTCTTAGTTTTTGTAAGAGGACCCCATGGTTTACCCGATCAAATGCTTTGGAAAAGTCAGTATAGATTGAGTCAACCTGGCACCCCTCTTCAAAGCTGTTATATATATGATTGACATACAAAACCAGGTTGGTATTGTCGCCGAGCGCCGCAATCTCGCGCATCGACGTGCATCGTCCCTCCTTCTGGAAGTTTTAATAAATTCTATTGGTTAAAAATCGTAAAAGTTTCATATAAAAGTTAAATATACTTTAAATATGGAACATTTTCGATTTACAGTCAGTGGTGGTTTTACTCTTACGGAGTAGTCGCAGGGCTCCTCATTGGAGGACTCTGCAAAAAGTTTAAAAAGACTCTGAAGCTGAGTTTTTTTCTACTTAGAAATGGTTGTTTTATTCCTCACAATAAATAACCCTTAGGCATTTGTCTTTTTCAAGACAATGCCACTTTAAAACGTCCAGCGGATAAGTATAATTTTATAAATACTTATCCCGCTCCGACGATATGGCGCCCAACAAAATTCGAACGTAACCACGCTCTGAGTGTTCAGAGTTCTCATGCTAGCGTTCCACCATCGCAGAAATTCCTACACGTGGTCTGCAACAATAACCACTCAAGAAACAGCGGGGAGAGGATCGGATATTAGTATGTTATACACTAATATGCCGATATCCAACCTTCTGCAACCTATAACCGTCGATGTGTGACCTTCTCCGAAGCCAACCTACTTCGATGCTGTGCCAGATGCGGAAGTGTCGTCCCGGAGTAGCCAGTCACTGCCTGCCCTACCATTATGTGGGAGCACCACGGAGGCTCAGGCAAACTCGCCTACGATTCACCGG